CCATATTTACTATTTTGTAAATATGGAATATATCTTGACAGCTTAATTGTTCTGTATTCAATTGGAACAGTGTAAAATAAAATAATGGAAAATTCATTAGGAGATTGTGAAAATGCTATAAAATTTGATAAATGAATTATTTACAATTCTAAGATTTAAATACTTTATCTTACATCCCAAAACTTCACTATAAGAGTTTTAACAAAACAAATAGACTTCTTCCCCTCTTAAATGAAGTTATTAACTTTCTTTGGCATTGCTGAATACTAAAATTATTTGAGCTCTAGAAGAGATGACTCTGAAAATTTTCAAGAGTTTGGCAACATTACTGAAAAAGCAGTCAAATGCTTGGTCTTGAGTAGGTAGAACAAGACTGTCTACATTCCTCCAAGAGAGGGCAATGAAACTAGAAATGCATGGGTATGGTTGCCAATCAATGTTGTAATTAGTACTGATAATACTTCACAATATGTGAAGCACTTCACAATATGTGAAGCACTATGTGCTGATACCAGCCACTTAATGGGCTTTTGAGTGACCTCTTATAGATGCAGTGACGAGAACTTCCATGTGACAATAATACTCAGCCAGGATCAAGACTATTGCATTCTCACTCTCTGCTTCCTCTGCTACTTACTACGTTCTAGCATAGCGAGTTCTTGCTATGTTCTTTTGTATAAAACATTTATAAAAAATAGAATGGATCACTACTGTTTCTTAGGCCACTGTACTCATTTTGAAAATTGAAAACTTGTGCTAGTTTCTGTACCAGTTGGCTCTTGGTCTTGGCTTCTTCATGGTCGTTATAGAAACAATAATTTTCCTTTTGTCTTACTAAATTTTGCACCACCATAACATACTGGGGGTATTATTTCCTTTCCCTTAGAATCCAATACTAAAGTAGATTAACCCTCTTCTAGGTAATGTGTGGAAAATTTGTGCAATGAAGTGGTTGGTAGGTTTGTTGTGTGTGTGTGTGTGTGTGTGTGTGTGTGTGTGTGTGTGTTGTGGAAATGGAGAAAAATTCAACTGTAGATATACAACATGGCAGCAAAATAAACAAACTTATTCTCACGTTCTGTCTGTTTATCCTTGTGACCTCTCTTGGTTTCTCTTTTTGTCTGTCTCTTTTCATCTCTAGCTCTATATCTCTCTTTTATAAATCAAACCAATGAAAGTAAAGAGGAAAGAACATCCTCACTTCAAGATTCAACCTCTTTGACATCTCTTCCCAGGAAGTCAACCTTCAATGACTAGATAAAGCATTTCTTCAATGTCTGTGTGATTGTTTAATGACAAACTGACAAATAGTGCCAGAGAATTCAGTATCATAATTCTAAGAGAGAAAATTTATACCTACGCCTCTTATTTCTGTATAGAGGGTCTTTCACTAGGATAATAGCATTAGCTTTTTTCAGCCCTCCTTCATGCCATCATTCCCTCCTCTCCAGGGAAAGGGGTGTGTGACATACCTGCCTGATGAATTTAGGAGAAAGCCTTGGTAAGCTTGTTTCCATTCCCTTTGCTTTCAGATCTGTTATTTTGCAGCAACATATATTCTGACACAAATATAAAGCTTACTCCTTCAAGTGTGTGTGTGTGTGTGTGTGTGTGTGTAAGGAAAAGAGATTGGAAATGAAAGAGGAGTGTGTGTATATATGTTTGTGAAGTTTAAGAAAACAATAGCATTTTGATGATTGGGTTTAACTTTGGATCTCACAAAGTGTCCAAACAAACTTCACAGGTATTCACAGGTAGCAGTTGCTCTGTATTGACAAAAAAGTCCATATTGTGATGATATCTATTACTACTTATTTCTACAAATTACTAGACTGGAAAAGCTGCAGTATAGTATAGTAATAAGTATTTTTTTCAAATGACTAAAAATCACAAATGAAATGGATATGTCTGAATTCTTCAGCTGCCAGTAGGTTATTGTAAATAAGAAAATAAGCATTCTTGGATTGTCTATATTATTTATATTCAGCATTGTGTTCAATATTAGGGATAGGAAAACTAATATAACATGGCATTTACCCTTAAATAACTCGAACTAATTGTTCAGCATGATTTATCACCAATTTTGTACTTTAAACTGTTTAATGATCCAATTTTTTATTATAGTTTATAAAATTGAGAGTTCATAAGACATACTCAGCTATTGTTTATAGATAATAAAATTTCAAAATCAGTCTTTGCCTGCTTATTTATGAAGCCATTATATGCATACACTATGTCTTTATGTGTTTGCAACCTATACTGTAATTTATATATTGAAAGATTATAAACTATCTGCCTATCTATTTTAAATAACCCCTGAAGTATATTATGAATAACTGATCACCCTTTATTTAGCTTTATAAATATAAAATCTAAGAAACTAAAATCCATCAAAGACAGAATGTTGAAGTGATAAACTCTGCCAGAGGAAAGAATGCCATCTTTAAAGTAATTATCATTTGTGGGGGTCCCAATTGTTCTATATCATAAGCACTACTGAGCTTTGGGTTCTCAAAGTTGGACTTGGGGGCACAACAGGAGTGATTCTTTAGAGAACTTGTTTTCTGTTCTATCCCTGACAGACTTAGTAGAGTTCTGGATAAAGAGAACGACTGTAAGACAAGTGTCATTTAAGACACAGATCCATGCTTGATATTATATAACTGGAACATGTAAATGTGGAAGTCTTGATACATAAGCAAGCATGAGGTTATGTACATACGCATCTCAAGTCTGTGTATTTTCCTATGCATAGATTGTATATTTATGCATTCATACCGGTGTTCTCATATATAGAGAGAGGTAAACATACTTTATGTGTCAAATACTTGCAGTATCTATCTTCTATCCCCTTTGACACTTTTCCTCTTTATATACTTATCTATCCATAAATGCTATTTCTCTATTGGTAATGCTTGTCAGCAATGTGTGCATTTCTATAATTTTATTTGGGGTGTGATTTTTAAAGTCAGTATGAATTTTCTTTCAAAAAGATATCAATTCACAATACACATATGACTTTATAATAGTTCACAAACCAGAAATATAAAGTATTTCATCTATTATTCCTTCTCATACACCCCGAAGTACTAAAATGATGCTACAACCATTCTGTAAAGAGCAAAGATCATGTGGCTACTTAAGGACATGCTGCACACAACACTGTAGTCTAGGTCAGAAGGTTACATGGCTGTAAGAAGAGAACATTGGAACATTGTGGCTGGAATGTAACTTTCACTCTTCACCTAAAGTAAGTAGACTGCATCCTGAGGATCTTCACTTCCGGTGTTAACTAAGAAAGGAGTATCCACAGCTGATGTTCTCATCCAGGCCATATGCACATCAGTTCATTATTAACTTTTTAAATGTGCAATTCTTATAGGATTCACAATTTGCAATTTCATTTCTTCTATTTCATAGTGTATCTGCCTCCATTGTTAGATGACCAGACTCAAAGAATGCAAACTCATTCATTATTCTACACAAAAATTAAATACACAGAGTAAAAACTGTCTATGAAAAGTGATATTCATTCTAAATTGTGCTGGGTCATGGTGACACACACCTTTAATCCCAGCCCTCAGGAAGCAAAGGCAGGTGGATCTCTGTGGGTTCAAGGCCAATCTGGTCTACAGAGTGCCCAGACAGCCAACCATGGCTACAGAGTAAAACCCTGTCTCAGAAAAACAAAACAAAAGAACAAAACAAAATTCAAAACAAAATATTATCTAATATCTTTACATAAAAAATTAGCAATACAATTGAAATTTATCGGGCTATAAAAAGTATAAAAATTGTGTATTTTTTCTAGTACATACTTGTATAATATATGAATGTATATTTATGGTAAAATAAGGCTTCATTTAGCCAATAATTCATTGATGTACACATATAAGCACACATGTCTATACACAATGAAAAAATAAGCCCATGTATTTAAACGATTATCAATGACATTACTGACAGTTACCAGTTTGATGTGTGAATGCATTACATAGCATTTCATTTTAGACTTTATAAAATGAGGTTTTGGTTTTTCTGGTAGTTAAGTAAGTTCTAATTCTACTTAATCGGTGCAGTTATTCCATAAGCTATTCTTTTCATACACAGGCAAGAATAGTTTTTGACTGACAGTGATAACATGAAAAGCAAACATAAGCCCAGTAAAGCACAGCAGCTCTTAACATCACTGTGTTTGGTTCCTGCTTTTTTTTTTTCTTTCTATTTTCCAGTGTTCACCTTGCCTGTGCATGGAGGATTTCATGTCTGCCAGGATGAAATGACAGCAGCCTCTGAATAATGGAAATGACTTGAACTTGAACAAGACCAAGCAAAATTTAATTGTGCTCAAAATACTCTGCACCATCAGCATCAGATTATCCTCTGGACATATTTCATAAGATTCTGGAATTTAAAATACAGGAATATGAATGCTACATAATATTACATTCTCCCAATAATTCAATGGTATCTGGGGGAAAGGGCCATTTTAGGAAAATTTGGCCACTTAATCTTTTGTGAGTAAGTTTCTGTGGTGCTTAAGGAACCATCATTTTCTTTATATGTTAAACTGCATGAGGAATTTGATACCAAAGTAACACAGCTTTGTTATTCTCCAATTAAGGAAAAAGTAAAAACCATTTAATTAACCAATGTACAGTGCTTTGCAGTACGTAGTAGTTGATGAAGACTTGAATCAATCATGATCATAGTTGAACTCCTATATGTGAAACTGAGAATGATTTTGCTCAGGTCTTTCTCCCATCGGACCAGGAGTATTTTCATTTAAATTGCCAGGATCTATATAAACCCAAGCTCGAGGAACAAAACAATTTAGCTCAGAGTCCCAGAAATCAGCTTCCTATCACATCCCTTTTTCCTTCGGGCATTTCTTCAGAGATTTTTACTGATTTGATTATACAACAGAAGGTTAAATTCTCACATACTGATCATTAGGAAAAAATAAATAGAGCAAGTACTAAAGCTGGCTTTGCACCTACTGAATGCTGCAAGTGTCTGTACTCATTGGATATGCATCTTGCAAAGCTCGGCTGTTCCCAGAAGGCCACTCCATGAAGACTGAGAGAGCAGCGTCTGCTAGTGGTGCCTGCATGCCACAAAGAACAGAGAGAAGCTTTATAGCAGGATGCTGGAAGGCATAGCATTGGGAGGCAGACTACAAACGGGGTTTATACATTTTCTTTTTGCTTTAGGAAACATGCCCATGAAATTGTTGTCTTGAATATTTTTATAATTCACAAGTCATACCGAGGAAGCAAAACATCAGCAACGTTTTTGAAGTCTGTTCTTTGACTCCATTTACTAAGCATTTTACTAAAATTGTGCCATCAGCTGTTTATTGGACAGACTTTATTTATAGAGCAAGGACAGAGGCACAACTTACTAAGCAAGCATAACATGCAGTTCTGGGATACAAACATTGCTGGGGTTAGGTGGCTCATTTTACTGTACCTGTGGCATTCAGTGGACACTGATTAAATGCCAGGTCGCCTGCAGGAGTCCTTTTCCACACCATTGATATAAGGTAATCCTCTGGGCATATTTCATAAGGTGCTGGAATTTAAGATACAGACATGTGAAAGTCAGCAGACCTTATGTTCTCCAATGTTGGCACTAAGCATTTGTCAAATGCATCTAAATGCAGAATTCTTTCCTTTCCGTAAATATGATTTACTGACATGTTAGAGGTATGCTTATAAAGAAAGCACCAGGTCTCATTTAACAGTCTCCAAACCCATATGGGCTCTCTAAGAGCTTCTGAGAGTATGTGATTTAATTGAAGAGTCAATGGGGGTTTTCAAATAAATGGACACATTTGAAAACATTAATGAAAAATCTTTCAAATTTCATTGAATCTATAGATGTTAATTTTTAATAAATCAGTTCTGTTTTGAAATTGTTAACAGCACTGAGAAGTACACCACACACACACACACACACACACACACACACACACACACACACACACCTCAGTATACTAGGCAACTGCTCTACCACTGAAATATATCCACAGCCCAAGACATATTTTATTTCTTCATTAATGAATAATCATGGTAGCCATGGTTTATTTTATGAAAGCATATTGATTTGATCTTTATGCCTTACTGCTTTTACACTTTCAACTTATTTATAAAGAGGCAGAAAAGAAATTTAAAAATAATAAATTTGTAAATTATCATTTTAATTATTTATTTTATTTTTTGAAATTATAATTACCTCCTTTCCTCCTTCCCTTTTCTTTATCCAACCCTCCCATCTCCATACCTCTTCTTGCTTTTGCTTTTTTTCCACTAATTGTTACATGCATATATGAATGTATGTATATATATAATGTGTGTGTGTGTGTGTGTGCGTGTGCGTGTGTGTGTGTGTGTGTGTGTGTGTGTGTGTGCAACCTGCTGAATCATGAAATAATGAGACTCATCAACACTGTACATTCTACTTCAGAATTTATGGACCCACTTTACATTTCAGTACTTAGTTGATGAAAAATGCAATTGTACACATTAGATCTTTAAGCCATATTTTCTTTTCAAGCAGTGACATTTCAGAATTGCACATGTCATCACAGGGCACCTCTCTTCTGTCTCCTTTACAGATGAGGCTACAAAGAAGGTTCCCCTGTGGTGGTAGAGAATGTGGAGATATCAGTTTGACTCCTAGAGTCCTAACTCCTCATGGTTTCATTGGACTTTCCAAATACATTCTTTGTTACTTTAAATCATTCATGATATTCTTCTGCCTGTGAACTAAGGTAAATGCATTTCTTCTAGGTTCTCATTAAAGAACACATGCTATTATTTTACTCCTGTGAAATGGTGGAAGATTTGGTAGCTGATTTTTCCTGTCATCAGCCTTTTCTCCAATGGCAACTTCTTCATCTCACTAATGCTTTGCTAATATGCTTATCTCAGTCTGAACTCACTGGACTTCCTATACAGCTCTTTAGACTTGGATTTATTCCTTCAGCTGTGAAGTACTTTCTCCAGGATCTTGGCTATTTTCTCTCTGGCATCCACCAAACACTTGTACCATTTTCTTCTGTCCATCTTCTGCATATTCTCTGCGTGATCGTCAATGTTATGTGAGATGCTCTCTTTAGATAATTTCAAAATTAACAGCAATTGCCACTTTTAGCAGTCACAAGCCCTTATTTAGAATCTCTGACCCTGGGTCCATTTAATCTCCTTGACTATGAATTATAGTTGCACACTACTCTAATATACTGCTTCAGAAAACAAATTTGAAGAGGCAAATAAGCTTGTCTTTTTTTTTCAGAATTCAAATATTCTTCCCTGTATTATATGTTAAGCCTAGACAAGAAAAATAAATGCACAGGGTGGTCAGTATGTGGATAAACAGTCACCTAGCCATGTTATCCTGTCATCACTCTTACTAGGAGTAAAACCATGTCTTCCTGATCCCTTGAAGGTACTAGCTGTTACACAGGGACATATGTTGTATTGAGTCAGGGTCCCTTCCTGAGACTCAGAAATGTTATTTTTTAATTTATTATGTATACAACATTCTGCTTCCAAGTATATCTGCACACCAGAAGAGGACACCAGATCTCATTATAGACGGTTGTGAGCCACCATGTGGTTGCTGGGAATTGAACTCAGGACCTCTGGAAAAGCAGTCGGAGCTCTTAACCTCTGAACCATCTCTCCAGCCCCAGAAATGGTTTTTATTATTCAATCTGCCATGGGAATGGTAAGGATACATGGATTGGCATGTATCATACATAGAAAGAAAATAACTCATGCTGCCAAAAATGTCAAACTTAAGTAAGGGTGGGGCAGCTTCCCTGCACCTTACCTTCCCCAAGTAGCTCAATTAACAGCAGGGATATCACTTACTGCAGCCACAATCAGCAAATAGCCATTGCTACTCACCTCCAGGTGCAAGCTTCGAAACGTTAACTGCTGCCTGCCCTAGCCCCCAACTCATGGAGAGTACATGCTTCTGTCTCCTGCTGCCTCTACAAGTTTCCTACATGCTGGCCAGAGAGGTCCAATTATGTGTCTTCAAAGAGGAAGCCACTGCATCAGGAAGGAAAGGTAAACCACACTGGCTTTGAACCTGCAAACATCTGCCTGCCACTGTCTTCCTAATGCTGTTATTAAAGCCATGTACCACGACACCCAGCTCCACTGAATCCTGGGTTATAGACTGGCAGATCAAAGTGCTTTGTCTGATTTTTTTGGTCACCAAAACCAAAAAAAAAAAAAAGAAAGAAAAAAAGAAAGAAACAAATAGCAACAACCAATTTGCTGGCACTCAAGACTCTCCCCCTTCCCGTATCACTATTTATTCTCCCTGTATTTCTGAACTCTGCTAATGACATAGCATATTTGTACCCATAAAACAAAACATCAGGTTAAACATCTGTTCATCCTTCCCCAACCCTTAACCTTCCTTTCCACCTTGGCCACTAACCCAATTACTGATCCTGTTGAATTACAGAACAAAGCTCACTGGTTTCTTTCTAGCCTGTGCTAAAGAGAACCAATAGTGCAGAATGCTAGGAGACTGCTTCATTATTCTTTTAATCAAGCCAAGGGGATGAAGCTGATGAAAAATTAACTACAATTAGGAAAAACATTACACACAGTAAATAGAAAATTCCATTTCAATCTTATATCTGAACTATTTAAAGTGTGTGGGGGGGATTGTCTTCTGGAAGAAGTGACATTTGATTGAGATGGTCAGTGTGAGAGGTACATTAAGTGCTCCAGGCAAAGGGAGCAATGCACACACATGCCTGAAATGCCAGTAGGACATGAAGGACAATGGGATGGACAAGAGTGCAATGGAGTGGGAAGACAGGGCAACCCTGTACATTAAAGAGCTGTAAGCATCCAGGTAAACGATGATATAACTCAGTTTTCAACCTTAAGATTAATTTGTTTACATGTGGAATACATGGCAAAGACCTCAAGGGAGCTAAAGAAATAGCACCAGGATGACTTTAAAAAAATGATGGATGGGGGAGGCATCTGACGCCAAGGGTTTGCTCTCCAGATCTGAGATCAGCAGTGGGACCTGATACACCAGACACTGCCGAGGCTTCAACCTCCATCTATGACAAGAGGACAGACATCAGAGTATTGGAACTGTTTGCATCTACTAGAAGGGAACCTGGGTCCCATACCCACCAGGAGAGTAAGAGACTCTTGCTACATCCACCAGAAGAAAGGATGAGAAGAGGTCAATGTAAAAGCACATCCAATAACAGAAAACTCAATATGATACCACTGGAGACTAGGAACCATACACCAGCAAGACCTGAACATCACAATGCAGATGAACCAGAAGAGAATGACCTTAAAAACATCTTCATGAAAATGATAGAGGACCTCAAAGAGGACATGAGAAAATCCCTTAAAGAAATGGAAGAAAAAAACAAACCAAAATTACAAGATATCAACAAATCTCTCAAGGAAACAGCTCAAAACCTAAAAACTGAAATACAGATAATAAAGAAAGCACAATCTGAGGGAATGCTGGAAATAGAAAAGCTGGATAAATGATCAGGAACAACAGACATAAGCATAATCAACAGAATACAAGAGATGGAAGAGAGAATCTCAGGAGATGAAGACACACTAGCGGGAATAGAATCACTCTGAGGGAATGCTGGAAATAGAAAAGCTGGATAAATGATCAGGAACAACAGACATAAGCATAATCAACAGAATACAAGAGATGGAAGAGAGAATCTCAGGAGATGAAGACACACTAGCGGGAATAGAATCACCAACCAAAGAAAATCTTAAGTACAACAAATCCCTAACACAAAATATCCAGAAAATATGGGATACCATGAAAAGACCAAACCAAAGAATAATAGGTATAGAAGAAGATGAAGAAATCCAACTCAACGATACAGAAAACATATTCAACAAAATCATAAAAGAAAACTTTCCCAACCTAAAGAAAGACATGCCAATGAAAATACAAGAAGCCTACAGAACACCAAATAGGCTGAACCAAAAAAAGGTCTCCTCCACACATAATAACCAAAACACCAAACATACAGAACAAAGAGAAAATATTAAGAGTAGCAAATGAAAAAAAGTCAAGTAACTTATAAAGGCAAACCTATCAGAATTACATCTGACTTTTCCATGGAAACTCTGAAAGCCAGAAGGTCCTGGATAGATATTCTACCTACACTAAGAAACCATGGATGCCAGCCCAGACTACTCTACCCAGCAAAGCATTCAATCAATATAGATGGAGAAAACAATATATTCCATGACAAAACCAGATTCAAACAATACATATCCACCAATCCAGCCCTATAGAAAGTTCTGGAAGGAAATCTGCAACTCAAGGAAGTTAACTACAACCAGAAAAATATAATCAATACATAATGCCCCTTTACCAACAGCCAAAAGGAAAAAGGTATAGAATCCCACACATAATTTCGCCACCATCACCAAATCAAAAACAAACAAGAATGAACAATCAATGGTCCATTAATATCTATCAACATTAATGGTCTTGACTTGCCTATAAAAAGACACAGATTAGGAGAATTGATAAGA